GATGAATGTGCGTCTGGAGAGGAGTTACACTGATCCATCATCATCAGGACAACAGCAGGAGTGCAGTTTGTGTCTGCTGGCTTGATTTGAAGCTTATTGCATTTGAGCCTTTGCAGAAATACACGCTCATCCTCCGTCTTCACCTTCAAAAACTAGGCAGGTGTCAAAGAGTCTGCTGTGTGTGGGGATTGCTCATTTTATAGATATGAAAACAGAGAGGAAGACATGCAGGGACAAAGAAAAATAAAGAACCGAGCAAATGTTATGACTTCACAGGGTTTTAGCTGTCCGGCCGATATATCCATCCACAACAGTAAATTAAATCATTCACCACTGTATGCGAAGGAGGCTTTCCCGCTGGTATAGCCTCTATTCTTTGTTATCATGCTGTGAGTGGGAAATAAACTCCAAAACATGTGTGTGTGTGTGTGTGTCAGCAGTTCTGGTGAGAGTGTTGTTTGCGTTTTTTTGTGATACACCCCCAGGGATGATGGCGACAGTTACTGCTGATCACACAGGGGGGCGATATGATGATCACACTGTGGAAATTGCCCAGACCTCAGGAACACAATGACACTACGACCACAGACACACATTTAAGTTACTGGGAGAATGGCACACTGGTTTGAAGCACAAAATGATGCCATCTTTAATAAACCAATACTTTTTAAGTTTAAAGACCTGCAAACACTGACTGAAGACACACAGATTACCACATTTCTTTTTCATACACAGTTATGACTCCCCACTTCCAGATGATGAGAAATTCAGTCTTAAAACATTGCTGAGTAAAGTCCGGAGAGTCTTCGAGTCTTGTTTTTCTTCACAGTATTTAAGATTGCCTTAACTCTAAGCTTCTAAAGCTTAATGCTTCATCAGGCATTGAAGATGTATCACCTCTTGGAAAGTTCATTTAATTAGAAGGACCTGAACAAGAGCCGTAACACATAGAGCAAGGGCACTTTTCCCATTCATCCGTCCCTTATCAGGCCTAGCCAGTAAAACATGGTGTGAAGGCTATTCTAATGATATGAGTCATATGAGAATTTTGGTGCAAACAGCTTCCTTGAACGATCTTAAAAGCCATTAGATGGCAAAGGGTGGCGGATTGTTTTCAGTGCACACCTGCCAAGTGATAGATTCACAGCAGAGTGCAATAACGCATCCCTAAGCTTGATTTAACACGCAGCAGTATTCAGTGCATTTATTCAGCTGTCATAAAATTGCAGTTTTGGCGACTCTGTTGTGCACTAATAATTGATTCAGCCCTCAAACTTTTTTGTGTAATGAACCGTGTGGTTAAACAGTGGCATTAGGCTACAATAGCTTTAAAAGCATTTAAAAAACAGGCAATGGAGCTAAAACTATATGTCATCTGTTTGAGCAAGCGACCCATATGCTGAAAGGCTGCAGGGGCCTAGGCCTGCGAGTCCATCACAAAACAATTAGTATTTGCAAAATAAAGGCTCAAATAAGGGCTAAAAATTCTCAAATATCAAACTTTTTCTATTTCTGTATTTTCTGTCAGTGAAGTTTAAAGACTGTAAAAGGCCTCAATCCTAAAAAAAATCGGCAGGTCTTCATAACCTCCCTCCATATTTCTTGCATCTCACTGCTGGTATTATAGCCCAAACAGTGTCAAATGTTCTTATACTGTTCCTGATATTTGGAGAAGAACTTTTGTGTTACCTTTACCAAAAAGGTGGTGATCCCACTTTATTAAATAACTATCAACCCATTTCTGAAGTTTGCATCCCAGCTAAAGTGCTTGAGGAACTGGTGAATGACCAATTAAAAAAAATACTTGGTCTCTAATCAGTCTGGTTTCAAAGAACAACATAGCACGGTCACTGCTTCGATTAAACTTTTAAATGCCAACAGCAAAACACTTTGAAATACATGAATTCATAAATGGTTTCTAACATTTATAATTAGCCCCACGGACACGTCTGTCAGTCACGTGCAGTTGAGCCGGACAGCCTGACCGTAAACGTACCTCTGCACAGATGGCAAATTTTTACCCACTGTTTACACAATTCAGGATCCTATTATACAAGCCTGGCAGGACCTCTGGGTTGCATCATTATAGGAGATTAAACATCCTCTTTCTCTTCCAATCTGCGTCCTCATCGCTTTAACGTCACACTATCCACTTATGCCTCCGATTGCTTCTGATTCCACTACATGACAGGATTTTCTGCAAAGCCTCTGTTGCATTTCTGCATACACACCTGCGGAGGGAATGGATACAAGCTACAGGATACAATATGCAACATCAAGCCTATATTGTACAGAGGTTTGGTTTGGTTTAAAATGCCCAAATGCTCAGACTCTGCGGGGGTTTGTGGATGTGATTAAATATGTTTTGGGCTCCAGCAGAACTTCTGCCTGCATTGTTCTTATAACCTAGCAACCAAACAAGCGCCGACTATTTAAGGACTGTGAAAGTGTTAAAGCCGCTAACTGCCAGACAACACACACACATGTGCGCACACACATAGAAGACAAGACTTGTTTTTGTTATTTTGTTTGTTTCAGCCAAGCATGCTGAATAAATCATCGTACATAAAACTGATGTCTGCCTACTATCCTACAGTAGCCTGTTTAAATATATAATAGACAGATAATATTATGTTCTGATATTAGTGTCTGTAGCAATAAACTCATCTGCCTGCTTGCATAAGAGGACAGGTGGTCAGCCCTGGACTGTGCAAGCAAAGGTTTATGCACGTGTGCATGCACACACCACAACAACAAATACACAAAAACTTCAACATTTACTGTAGAAAACTGCAAAGAGAGCACAGCCTCAGTCCTACAGATGCCATCTACCACTGACAAGCACTCGCAAACATCAAAGTTACTCCCTTTTAAGCTAATGAGGGCTTCTGGGTTAAAAATAAATAAATAAATAAAAAAGCAACACCCATGATGAAGATGAGCAGAATATCATCTGATATAGAACATACAAACTATAATAGAAGCCGGCTGGAAGGACTACACACCTCTCACCAAAGTGCACAACGCTATGTAGAAGCGTGGAGCTTAGACTTAAATCTTTGATTGAAGAACCAGGTTACCTTTAAATTTTTATTCGCTTAAAGCAAAAAAAAAAGAAGAAAAACTTTCTGCAGAGTGTTCAGGATTTCAACATGATCCACCAGCATGCTGCAGACAAATCTGACTTCATGATCAGTCTGCCAAAGAGCATTTGAAATTCACTCAAATCTATGAAAGCACAAATCAGATGAGTCATTTTTGCCAAAGACTAACTGTAGCTGTGCTTTTTTTGCTGTTCATATCACCCGAGTGAGATATTTTTGAAGGCAAGATGAAAAGGACATCTCTTCTGTTAAATTTCAATTTCAATTTTTTGCTGCAGGAATCCTACTAAAGCTTTTCATATGGATTCATATGGTGAAACAGCATTTCCAGCTCCAAGCCTTTTAATGCATATGGCGCAATTGATTGTGTTCCAGGAAGTGCAATATAATCGCTGAGTTTTGCTTTAGCAGGCCTTTGTGAGCCAAAATTCACCACCTTCGCGTTTATTTTAATGGTGCACTTAACAGCCACTGAAATATTGAGTGGGTCCTCTGGGTTACAAACTTTAACATAAATCTGATATAGTCCTCTGGAGCGCTGACTGAAGTCACGAGGTCATTATTCTGAGCTTATAAAATTTTTTAATGTAGGATTTTCTCTGATGCATTAATACAGAAGGAAATAATAACTGAACAGACGAACGATTTGCACGATTAAACAAAGAATCCAAAATAAACAGAGAGGTGAACAAGAGCAGCCTTTCCCAGCAGGGCATCCCCCACTCATGAGGTCGAGGTGCTCAGCAATGTCTCATCAGAAGCCAGGGGATGCACCTTCCCATCTTCAGCTGGGTACGCATAACAAAAGAGGTAACTGTTCCACATTTATTAGCCTAGCTCAGCATGAAAAACAAGATCTTTCTTCATCGTTTTTCTAAATTTAGACAGCAAGAACCGCAAAGCATTGAAGAAGCACTAATTTCCCCCAAGGAACCCTACTTAGGGTGTAAAATCAATACTGGCCCAGCAGTGTAATCAAGCTGCACTTAGAAGCTGTTGTATGTGGCACTGTTTTTTGGGGTTTTTTCCCTCACAGATTTGCAGCAGTGTGCAGACACGAAGTAGTTTTCTTTTGCAGAACAGTTTGTCCTGTGTGTAAAAAGAGTACCTGTCCGAAATGCAAAACAACCAACAGCACACCAACATGGAGAAATTAAATCTGACTGTTTTCCCCTCCATTTTGACTGCATTACAGGAACTTTTAACAGCTTCATTAAAAAAAAAAAAAACGACTGTCAGAAAACGCTGAGGAAGCTACTCCTCGCAGGTTTCAGGGCACAAACATATCACTTTGTCACAAACTATCTGGCATGCTTCTGAACAGATCTAAACAGAATGGTTTTTATTTATTTTTCCCCTTCAAAGCACAGCTGAATATTAAGTTTGGTTATCAGCTTCTTGTCCTACTCATTCATATGAGCATGGATACGAACACAAGTTTAGAAACTGGGATATTTTTTGTATGAACTGCGCAGAAATGTGTTTTCTCTGAGAACCCGCAGCTTTCCGCTTAAATCTACCAAACGTGCTTCAAGTTTCAAGTTGTTGATCTTTGTTTTACATTACTGATCATTTTGACCTGTACGGTTTTATTTAACTAGGCTGGACCTTTATAATAAAAACGTGGGTATGACTGTCGGTGCAACGTCAAGTAGCGGACAAAATACCAAAAGTGCAGGTTTCAGAAACAGGCTTCTTCCCAGGAGGACGAGGCTGCAAAGCTTCCAACTCTGCGTCACACTAACAGCAAGTGGAGAGACCATTACCTCCGAGCACCACTTCACACACAAACTGTTCAACAAGAGGAAAAAAAGTAGCCACACTCGTCTAAAAACAACGACAAAAAAGAAAATCACATCTTGACACCTTGAATTTCCCCTGACGTTATCCACAAACCTTTCTGCTGCTTGAAGGACTGGATTGAGCCCGAGTGGTGCACCATGGCGGCGTTCAGTTGGTTCCCAGCGCAAATCAAATTCCGTATTTAAAAAAGCAAAACTGCGGAAAACATGGGAAACTGTGGCGGGGTTGTGTAGGTGTTCCCTCAGCTCCCATCCTGCCAAACGAGCTCACTGGCGATGCGCAAACGCCAGCAACACCTGTCTCCTCTATGCAAGCTCCCACCCCCCTACCCCAACACCCCCCTCCGCTCCCCTATCGCCACCATCCACGGCTGTTGTCATGGCGACCGGAGGTAGGGGAGGTCCTGAGATGGACGCGTCCACCTCCTATCCTCCTCCGTGCTGATTTACTAAAGCTGCGGGAAATTACCACGGACGGCAAATTGCAAATGGACCGTCGACAAATTTGTTTTGCTCTCCAGTTATCCTCCTGCTGAAAGCTGCACTTATCCAAACAAAAAAAAAAACCACAGCCGTGGACCCAGTATTAAGTTAAATATAATGCAGTACAGGCTACTGCTTCCCAAATATCACAGATAAAAATATGTAATCATGGGGACGTTGTTGTTTGTTCTTTTTAAGTTGAATTCACATTTGAGACACTGCAATCAGCCTTTTTATAACAAAACGAAAAATACGAAAATGTAAAAATACTTTCTTTCCCTCTCTAATTTTCTCAAGCCATGGGACACATGATCATAAAAATCCAAGACCAATGATGGCGTAAAGTTGTTGTTAGGGGGGCGACCGAGGCTCAGGGAGGTTGGGAAGCGTATATGTAACCGGAAGGTCGCCGGTTCGATCCCCGAGCTCTCTGTCCTGGTCGTTGTGTCCTTGGGCAAGACACTTTACCCTACCGCCTACTGGTGAGGGGCCGATGGCGCGATATGGCAGCCTCGCTTCTGTCAGTCTGCCCCAGGGCAGCTGTGGCTACAACTGTAGCTGCCTCCACCAGTGTGTGAATGTGAGAGTGAATGAATAATGGAATTGTAAAGCGCTATATAAATCCAATCCATTATTATTGTTAGAGGAAGCTGCAGCTACAGTCAGGCTTCAATTCAAATTTTTTAACACTAAAAGAAATAATAATAATAATAAAAAAAATAACTAAATGCAAAAGCAAAAGGTCTGTAAAGTCAATATCTCAGCTCACACAGGCCTCACAGAGCCCAGGCTGCAGAGGCAGGGGACCCCTTGTATGACAGTAAATGTTTCATCAGTCATGAAAACTAAAGCTGAACAGGGCACCATGTAGCTGCAGTGCACTTTGATTGCAGACTATTAAAACTGGAGGACTAATAGTCGTGCACTGCACAAACAGAAATCCACTTAAATGAGAGATTTGTTGTTTATTGCAGATTTGGGCAGTGAAATACACAACAGTGTATATTTCATCAGGAAATCATTCTCTGCTTCTGCACGTTAACATTTTTGTTTTCACCTGCACTGCTTTTGACAGTGTTAAACAGTTATATTACAGTTATGTGGAAAATAAAAAGTGCAACCGCACTAATTTCTAGGCTATTACTATCATATTTAGTATAATTTAAAACTTCATTGGGTCCTTAAAATAAGGTCTTAAAATAAGGTGAATACAAAATTAGATTAACAATAATACTTGAGATATTACACTGTGCCATTATTTCTTTAACAAACACTAAAGCAAAATGCAGTTCCTGCATTTTTAGGAATTAAGAGGGTAAGTAACAGCCAACTATTCAAATGCAACTGTTAATTGACAGCAAGTCAAACAGTTAAGTGTGAGTACCTCTATCTAAGCAGATGCTTTGATAGCTGAGTTTGCAAAGTTGCTTTTGAACAAATGTGTTTTGGAGAGATGACACCACCGTGGAGATGTTTGCCCATGATGTGCCACATTAAGCACATTAAGGAGTCCTTCAGTTGACCATGATGCCCTCTGTATACCAAAGAATTCTAGAGGCAAAGGTGAGACCATCTGTCTGACATTGATGCCAAACACAGTAATAAATCTACAACAGAATGGCCAACAAAGAAAAGAATCACAGTGTTGCAATTGCCCAGTCAAAGTCCTCAACTCAAGCTGACTGAAACACTGTGGTGGGATCCTAAGAGAGTTGTGCATAAAGAAATGCACAAAAACGTCAAAGAAGAAGAAGTAGTTTAAAGAAGTGTGGGTCAAAACTCCTCCTATGTGATGTGCAAGACTGATAAAGTCATACAGAAAATAACTTCAAATAATTGAAGTAGGCGGTGTTTCTGCAAGCTACTAAATCATGAGGTGTGCTTAGTTTTTCCACACACTGCTTCTGCATTTTGGCTTTGTTGTCATGTGCTGAGATTGTATTTACAGAATTGTAAGACCTTCTAAGGACTTAGGACCGAACCTTTAAACTAAGACCACACATGTTCTTTTTAATATAACTTATTGACATTATATACTGGCAAACACGATAATGATATTTAAAAAAAATTGTACATTTAATCAAAGACTGCACGTGTTACCTTTTTATCACAGGTGCCACCTTCTTCCTTTGGCATTCTCTTTAGCAGCTGTAGTCAGAGTCACAAAATAATAGTAATAATAATGGAACAAATCAGGAGATTATTTTTATTATTTACAATCAGGTTGTTAAAAGTGAGACTGTACGATAGATTCAGTTGATATAGTAATAATAATATTTGAGTAATGATGCAATCCTATGTATTTTAACCATGAAGTATAGCAAAATTCAGTGTATATGAATTACCTAACATGTCAATGAGGATCGTGATTATCACGGTTATTAGTAAAACATGCAGGTAGTTTATGGGATAGAAAATAAATTCTTTTTAAGTCTCCAGTTTTATAGTATTAACCAAGCTGCCAGTTCATCGAGGTTTATCTGCAAGGTCACTGGTCTTATTTCAATGTCATCCCCAGAGAGTTACAGCAGCAGACCACTAATCTGGATCATGAGAGGGAAAGCTCTCTCATGGGTGTTTTATGCTGTTTCTGTGCAAGCAGACACTGAACTGACTGCTGTTATCTGGTGACTGTTTGCCTCGGGAACAATAACATAATCTTTATCTTGGTCTTTGGCCTTAGTTTTGTATATTAATCTACGTCTGTGGGGTTACTGAGAAAAGAAGCCTGGCATCTGTCATAGATGCAAATACCATCTGTTTTCTTGCAGCTCGGCATGCTTTTACTCCTCCCACTGTTCTGATGTTTATTAAAGACTGCTATCAGGGCATTGTGTGCCAACCCCAGCGACGCGACATTGAACTAGCAAGCTAATGCATTTCTTCTACTGGGGTGATTAATAAATAAAACTGCAGCTCTTATCAGTGGGTCAGTCCCACTTTAAATTCTATCTTTTCCATTCCTGCCTGGTAGTTAGAGGATGTAGGTCAGATGGGAGCACTGCAAAGGGATGAATTTAGACAAATGATATACTGCCACCGTGTGGAAAGTGTGGCTAACTGTTATTAACCTCAGCTCATGAGCGCAAATACACACAAAAAGAAGGACACCCTTGAATCCTTGAAATTAAATGGCCAGCTGCATGAAATGTTTACATTTTTAAAAAAAAGCAGGTGCGTCATAGTGCGGGCAAGAGTGGAAATGTGTACCCAGGGCCTCTAGAAATCCTGGAATGAAAAGTTTTTATTTGCAGTTTTTATTTTTAAGTAATATGTGTTATAACTAAATTGCCTGGAATAATCAGTTGGGTGACTGAGTGTTGGTTTCTGGCCAATTACATAAAAATGTATGTAAATGGCCAGAAAATGTGGATAATAAAGAGGAAATGCCAATAAAGCCATAATGAAAAATCTGTTAGTAACAGTAGTCGGCACATCAATACATTTTTATTGAGCTGTGATTTGTAGTTAGACCATTATTCAGCCTGTATAGCAGTGGCGTAATATAGAATAACAGATACTCAACTCAGAGAAAACGTGAAAAACAGCCACTCAGAAACCATCAAAGCTACCTAATATTCAACACATTACTCGCCCCTCAGGAAGGATCTGCATTAGCGTGCCATTCGGAGAATCAAAGAAGCTGCTTGAGAGGCTCCTGAATAGTGAAGGCCTCTGGCATCAACACTTTCAGCTAAATTAACTATGATGGTTTTGTTGTAAGGCTTAGCAACTGAGAGATCTGCTGATTAAGTCAGTTTAAAAGTTCATTTGAAGCTCAAAACTTTTCCTCTCTGGACCAAAGTGAAGCCAACCACTCCCAATGTGTGCCTGAACAACAAATGCTTTTTAATTCTCATTGATTAATCTTTAGGCTTTAGACTTTCCTTTTTGAGAAAGCTCATAGTTAGGGCTGGATTGGGTGACCCTGAATCCACCCTTAGTTATGATGCAATAGGGTGCTGGAGGATTCCCATGATGCACTTAACATTTCTCCTTCTCTCAACCTTTTCACTCACCATGTTTTTATACACCACTCTACATTTAATTATTAGTTAATATTAATCTTTAGTTGTCTTCCACAGCATGTCTTTTGTCCTTTCTCCCTCAGCTCACCCCCAACCAGGCGTGGCAGATGGCCGCCCCTCCATGTGCCTGGTTCTGCTGGAGGTTTCTTCCTGTTAAAGGGGAGTTTTTCTTTCCCTCTGTCGCCAAAGTGCTTGCTCATAGGACGTCATCTGGGGTTTCTTTGTATTATTATAGGGTCTTTACCTTACCTAATATTAAGCAGCTTGAAGTGACTGTTGTTGTCATTGGGAACTATATAAATAAAATAAAACTGAATTGAAATAAATATTACAGTAACTGATCTTTCAGTAACATATTATAAAAAATATGAAACAATGAAAATAAGGGCTCAAAATATTGACTTTACTGGCTTTAACTTTGGTTCAAACACTTTTTGTGCTGTTTGTGCTGTTTTGGCGCAAATGTGTGGAGCTTGCTCTAGACTGACTGAGTCAGCCACTCACTGGGCAACACGAGGGAGACAGCTTCAAATGTCATAAACCGCAAATTTATACACACAATTTAGATGTGGAAAAATATGCTTATCGACAGGAGGCAGTGTTTGTAAACATTTGGCTTTCCAAGACCTGCTGGCAGGCTCACCAGACTGCTGGTCGGTGTCTGTGCCTCCAGAGCGGGAACTGCTCCAGGATGGGCTGATGGTGGGACTGATAGTAGCATGGTGTCTGATGCCACTGGAGGAGCTGGAGACCTGACTCTCCAGCAGGGGGAGGTACACAGAGTTTTCCTGATGACATGATCCTGTGAAACAAAGAAAATATCAGAAATCAGTGAGTGGTAGCATCCCGAAGGCTTTTTCCAGCTCAAACAATAATATCACTTGTGTAAGTT